GCACGTGCCTGCATGTGCTACTTTTGGTGGGATTCAAAAATTTGATTACGTACAAGTACTGAGCATGTGGATTTCGTATGTATATAATTTTTAGTCAAAGTAGTCATTACACGCAAAAAGATGGCCACGAATCCAAGGTTATACCGTACATTGGCTGGCCAAGCCTATACDATACTGTAATGAAGAAAAGTTTATGATACAGAACATGCACATGCCAATCCAAAATGTTTTTGTGGGACTTCCCACTTGCCAGCAATAAAGGCAAAACAGTCCTAATCCCGCATTGGTATGCACAAAACCTTCACAAGAAAACCTTGTAGCTTACTCCTCCTGCTCCTGCTGTTCTTTGCCATCATTGCTGTCTGTGGATGCATCTCCAGCAAGAATAATTGACGCACCTGCTGTTGTTGTTGCAGTTGCCCCTGACAATGTCTCTAAACCTGCCACAGCCTCTCTCTTGATGAAGCCTTGCTTCATATCAAAGTCCTCCTCTCGAGTTCCAAGATTTGCCTCCTCTCCAATCAAGATATGGGCCCTTCTTACCATCACGTACTCTAGCATGTTTGGATTTCTGGTGGAGCTCTTGATCCTCTTCACAGCTGCATACTTAGTCTTGATGGAGGTCTTGGTCCTACCAATAGGCCAAGTCTCTGCATGCTTTGCTGTAATGAAGTCCCAGCCTTATACATCTAAAGGGAGTACGTCCAATATCAAGCTCATGAGACTGGTGAGCTTGGCTCACAAGTACCTTATAGTGCCACTCTTCCGCCCACCACCAGGAGCGTTGGTGGCAGCAGTTGTATCCATCTTAACATATATAGTGTGGGGGATTGGACAATGTGCTCCTCCCTCTTTGAGGTCACCGGCCTCCTCCTCATTTTAGATTTCATAGTTCATCGATCCCCGATGGGAGCATCGACTCACTTTTCTACTAGCACACACTTTACATCACTTTTAGGACAGTCACTCCCACAGGTTACATATCAATCATTTCAATAGAAACTGGTATAGACTAGCTGGCAGTGTCATGTCTCCACTATTCTTGGCTTGGAATTGTTCTCTCAACAGTTTTTTTAACTCCACTCCTGTTTCAGGGGTTCTAGTAAACAACTCTTTGATCTCCTTGCACAAAAGGTGAAGCAATGCTCTCCCATCTATTAGCCAAGCATCTCTTCTTCCACTTCTCTGATTGTAGAGCCTCTTTCTCCTCTTTAGTACACTCTGATACTCCTCTTTCTTCTACTATGTGCACCACCCATGTATGGTATTCATTATGTAGGAGTAAAATAAAAAACACCTCATCAGAAACTGTGACTATCTCACTTATCAAATGAGTACCATTCCTGACATGAAAATTAGTTTGCATCCGTTTCATACTAGTATCATCAGGTATCCTTGTCAAAAAGATATTAAAATTTAAATTCTTACTTGTGTTGCTGGACATTCTTACTTGCATTGCTGGACAATCTGTACAACAGGTTCAAGATTCTTCTGGTCACATTGCCAGTATCAACAAAAACTGGTGTGGTTTTCTGACACCTGTATCCAGGAAAAATAAGTGTTGGTTTCTGACACCCATAGTGACAAAATACCACTATGGATGTCTTGTTTTTTCAATGCAAGGTGTTGATTTGTACTGGGACATCCCTCTCATGTTGCCTGTATTGACAAAAAACTGGTGTGAATTTCAGGTGCCCATATTGACAAAAACCCTGCATGGATTATGGTGGTGATTGGTATTTGGACACCCATCTCACATTCCCCATAGTACCAACAAAACTTTTGTGAATTTCTGTTTTCTCCTGGATCCACAAAAATACAGTAGTATGAGTGCCTTAATTTTTTCCAACACATGATGTTGATTGGTATTTGAAAATCCCTTCTCACATTCTTTGTATTGATTAAAACTGTGGGTCCCTGATGCTGAGTCTGATCCATGGCTACTGGTAGGAATTTGTTGCAGAGGTCCTCAGACGACAATTGTCCTCCAAGGACATTAATCAGAGATCTCGGCTGTCTTTTTTGTGTGCATTGACATTCTTGATGAACATCTCCATTTTGGCAGTCAACTCTTCCGCATGGTGGTGCCAGCAGTGGATGTATGTGATAATACTACAATCCAAGACTGCAGATGAGTAAGCTTGCTCTAGATCATCAACAATCTTTTGGCAGAGGAGGTCGTTGTACCTTGAGAGATGAATGGCGAGGCAGGCAAAACAGAGTGACAGGTCCTTGAGATCACAAAGAACAGGAACTTTTGTAAATTTCTTGAGTGTGTCAAATACATCACTGACAACAACAGTTTCAAAATCTGGGTGATCCATTGGGCTTTGGCTCTCCTCCTTTTACCAAAATATGGCAATACTTATTGACACAGCAGCTTTCAACAACCAATATTTTCTCTAATGGTTCTCCAGACATTCAACCAATTGTTTGTTGGTTGTTATATGTTGGAAGAGGGTACATGGGCTACAGATTCATGTGCTTGAACCACACTCATTCCATGTTCTGAGGATTATGTGGGATGGATTAGGTGTCAGAATGGCAAAAATAGAGCAATATCCAGTCTCATGCCAATATTTTCTGGAATGGTTCTCCAACCATTCAACAAATTGTTTGTTTGTTAGAATGTTGGAAGGGGGTGCATAGGCTATAGATTTGTGTGAAGGAATCACACTCATTCCATGTACTGAGGATTCTGGTGTGGAATGGAATAGGTGCCAGAATGGCAAAAACAGTGCTGACAAAGAACTGACATCCATACAAGTAAATTCCAATTCAGGTTAACAAATTTGAAAGCTTTGCATTGAGTGTCAATATCAACTCCTCCAGTGAGAAGCATATGCATTGTGCCTCTTGGTGACTTTTGGTTTTGGAACAACACTCAAACTTGGCAAGACAGCAAAGCATTGAAATTCCAACATGCTGGAAGATGTTAAGATGAGGAGAGAGAAAAGTATTTTTACGAAAATTAATTACATACATGTATGATTGGTTTCTCCATAAAGAAATTTCACCATCTTGTTCAAACTGAACTGAACAAAAGCAAAAAGATGATTCAAGACATCATAATTGTCTTATTTTGATTTAATATATTACCCTCTTTCTACTACTAGCTATGTGTACCAAAGTACTACACCATACATGAAAGTAAAGAGGAGAGATTAGTTGGTGAAGGCATGATACTACTAGTAGTACAAGTAGAAAAAACCAAGAATGAATGTTACAAATTTGAGACAACATGAGGAGTAAATTCCAATTGTTACTTTCTTCTAATGAACATTCTGTCATGTTTGAAGTGATAAAATGTGGAGCAACCTGGCTGTATCACAGTAAAAAAATGAGGGTATAGTAGATGCAATGACCAAGGCTCAACTTTGGTGATATAAGTGCAACCAAAAATAGAAATGAATGGGCAAATGGATGCAATTGAAATAGGGGTTTGTTAGTATTAAGAAGGGTCCTGAGGGGATATGATGAGTTCCAAACACTTTTTGTGACAATTGATCAACAAGATGTTAGTTAGAAGAGAGTGTTAAGCTTGTTACGCTATTGGATGAACCTGATGTAGATTTATTTGTGTGCTGGGGTGTTGGCAACCACATTGTTGTGGCACTACCAGTTGATGAGTTGTAGATCCAAACCATCACTGCTGTGTAGTTCTGGAGCCATTTGACAACACTCTTTGAGTACTTCTTCTTGCCTCTTTTGATGAAACTGTTTCTAGTACACCGCCAGGTGAAAGAGACTGTTTGTTGCAAGTATGCCTCATTTCCTCATTTCCCCATTTTTACAACTCCATTTTGGAAACTAATGCTGCTATATTCTTGTGGTTGTGTATGATCTTCATTAGTAGCTTGATCTTGAGGACCTTGGTGATTGGGTCAGGTAGGCCAACGTAGGTAGTATTGCTTAGGCAAATAAATTTACTGAAATCATCCTTCTTCTCCTTAGTGACCTACTAAAAAAGGAAGATTTAGAATCACTTTTTATTCTACTGCTAGGGTAGCAAGTGTGATGATCTAGTAAATAAATCTGACTTTTCCTAAGATGGATCAAAACTTTGTTGGTTGTGATAGCTCCTCCTGGTTTTTTGTCCAGTTTGGCACTATCATAGAAATGTTGCAGATGCTGGTAACTGCTCCTCCTACTATCCCTTGATCCTCTGTGACAGCAATTCTCATAGAACAAGAACTTGAGTTTAGGTTGTGCAATAATCAGTAGCAGAGACATCATGTTCTTGGGAAGACCTTTTTGAAAAAAAGTGTAGATTAAAATCACAGTATTTTCCAATGGGGAAATTATTATCTTCCAGGTCTGCTGCATTCAATTGCATGCATTGGAGCTTAACAGTGTGCCAACAAATCTAAAAACATGTCCTGGATGGGTAACAATTTAAAGAGAAAAATAGGATTATCTTACATGCCATTAGATTGGTCTATACATAAAATTCTTGAATACTGGTAGGTGTGCAAAATGCGCAAAGCCCTGGATCCAGTTTGTGTCAAAAAGTCATTGTGTCTTACAACACAGTTTCTTTCATGCTCTGTTTATGTCTTGCCATTACCAATAGTATTGTGCATTGGTCCAGTTGGTATGCAGGTCATGTAAGAGCTTACCATGCCCTCCTGTCAATTTTTCCAAGAATGACTAAAGAACTTAAACTTAATGTGTCACTTTTTTTCTGTGGCAAGAATTAGAATCTACTAGTAATGACGTGTTCTGTTGTTGCATTTTTCCTTTTTCCAGGACATGTCAACTGAGTCTTACTATGAGTTCACATACCGGATCATAATCAGGGCAACATTTGCTCTCCGGGGAGAATAAGAAATTGTTAAATGATGCCAATCTCACTTCATGACAGCGAATTTCATTTTTTGAATAAATGTACTGTTTTGCGCGGTCATCTAATTTACTATGAACTAATGGAACACTAATTAAAATGATTGTTATTCTATCCCATTCMATTGCTTCTTTGTTTGATGCATACTTCTCTCGTCTCTTGAGAATTATCCTTATTGAGAGTATGCATTTTATTTTTACCCTGCATTCCAAAGACCAGAGTCGACGCATCTCTGCATGTGATATTCGGCATCTTTTGGATCCATTTCCATTAAAGCTTGTCTTAATTGATCTGTATCCCGACTTTCAAAGGCATCCTGCATAGATTGCGGTAGTGATTCGATCACCTCCAAAGGATCTAGGCCACCTGGACCTAGACGTTCTTCTTTTGGGATTTCCGACAAATCAACCCCTTCCTTTTTCACACGAGTTCCATGTTGTTCCTCTTCTGCTCGAGCGGCATCTATTTCCTTGCGCTTGATGATAGCTCTTTTTTCGATCTTTTCGACAAATACCTTCACACCTGACAAGAAGCCTTCAAGAAACTCGCGTTGTTCTAAACGATTGAAAAAAGGCAAAATTGCATTCCCGGGATGAGTCTGCCACGATTGAGCTAGTTCAGCAATATTGGTTACGATTTGAGATTGCTTCGCTCGTTGCTTCATTTCGTCGTGCTTGCCATTCATTTCATCTTCCAATGTGGCCAATAACAAATAATTCGCAGCATGTTCTTGCAACATGATAGTCCCATATTTTAACAAAAACTCTTTAGAGTCCTCGAAACTCTTGATAAACATGAACTTTTCGCACAAATCGGCATATTTTTCGGTGAATTCGTGATATGTGTACAAAAATTCAGGATCGGAGTCTACTTCCGTTGGATCGGTGCTGGATTTTTCGGGCATCGTCGCCGTTGTTGCCGAAGGTGGTTTGGACGGACCTGCAGCCGGCTTGGATAGTTCAGATGCTTTCTTCACAGAGTCACTTTCTTTTTTCTTCTTTTCGGCCTCTTGCCGTGCCTTTTCAAATTCTTTCTTAGCCACTTCGCCTGTGACAGTAGATTGGGCGTGTCCCGTGCTAGTGTAATTGGATTTTGCTGCATTTTTATTCACCATGGTTCGCTCTTCCTTCACTTCAAACATGTTGTCAACATTCCATTTTTTGTTCTTTTCGTATTCGTCCAGAGTAGCTTGCCGTTGAGCATTCTGAGATTTCAACTCTTCCATTTCAATTTTGATGGCTTCAACGTCGTCCAAATCGTCATCGTCACTATCACTGTCCTCTGCTTTGCGTTTAACAATCTTTTTCATATCCCGTTCAAGCATTTTAAGACGTTGATTGGCTTTATCCATCTGCCGAATAAAAAGAGATCGTTGGTTTTTTTATTTCGTTCAATAAGCACAAAGAGATAATGCAACGATTTGGGTTAGGTTGACTGTATGTCTTATGTGTAAAGCATAATAGAAGCATAACATATATACCTATACGATAATGACGGGTTTTGAATTAAGCATACCTCACTGTTGATTCGTTTCTTGTCTTTTGCCTCATGTTCCTCTCGCTCCACTCTCGATCGATGCTTCATACGAAACCAAGATTCACGGTCGATGTTCGGATGGACATCATCTTCGTCATCGCTCAACTCGATTTTATCCCACTTGGAGTAATCAAAGGGTTTCGACATCTTCTCTTTTTTCTTGTTGTCGTTTCTCACTTTTTCGTGCTGGAAGGTGTTTGTGACGTCCGTCTTCCAAATGAAAAAAAAACTATCCTACGCACCGGTACACAGGGATGCCGGTACAGTCGCAACACCTTTTTGCGGTGTGAAGAGTTTTTTTTGTCTTCGAAAAGCGAAGCAATGATGAAAATTGAAAATTGCAACTCATAACCTACGATACGGTATCGTACAATAAGCTACTTGCAATATATCGTACCATATGTACGTATTTACGATATGTAAACTACATACAGACGGTACGTAAACTGATTACTGTAACTCGTAACTCTCTCTTTTATGAAATCGTACCGGTAAGTACGTACGGTACATACGCTACGTGCGTACGTTAGACAGAGTCTTCGGGAAATCGGTTTCAAAATTTTCTTTCTCACTATTTAATGATGGTTTTTGAAATCTCGCCTTGCTCGATTTTATCGACGTGATCGCGTGCCGTTATTTTTGCATCCACAAGATTTTCATTTCTTTCGGAAAAAGAAGAAACCGGCCCAAGTTGCCGTACGGTACGAACCTTTATCAGCAGGAGGAACAACTCCTTCACAAGGTGATCGAATCGATCTTAGACGAGGAAAATAGAAGCAACAACCAATCTATCAGAAGGAGCGCGGTAATTGATCAATTTTCATCCAAGGAAAGGCTTGAATACAGCATGCGACAACAAACACTGTCGATGGCCGATTCTACTAGCAGCGTGTCGTCGGTATATGAGAGGCCAGTTAGAGTTCCTGCTGTTATGTTCTTTATCGTTTTCATCATTTTTCATATCACACTTCAATTGAAAACTGCATTTCAAATAGATATCGCTCGATCCCTGACAACGAATGATCTMGCAAGCGACCAAATCTCAGACGCTCTAGCAGACCAGCAAGAACGGCAAGAAAAGAAAAAAAAAGATTCTGATCATAGTGCTACCTCACTGATTCACAACGTAGAGTCGATAAAGCAGGCATTAGGAGGGGGAGAGAGCGGAGAAACTGTCACTTTGTTCAATAATGACAATAATTTATTCCCTGAGAAAGTTGTTGGCGTTCAAGAACACAGGGACTCTGACGATCATCACGATATATCCTCGCCCTCCGAAGATAGTGACCACACAAATAATTTATTAGTAACGACAAGAATGCAAAAATATGAGCTTGATCTCGATGATTTTTTTGATACAGAAGGCGAAGGTAACCAGGCAATAAGCGAAGCAAAAAAGACCCAAAAAAAAAAGAAAAAGAAGCGGAAAACCAGGGCGTTTTTTGGAATTATGACCTACGATTCAGAGAGCGAGCGGAAGCGACGAAATCTGATCCGAAAAACTTTTCTGAGTTACTTTACCAATCACACAAATCGGACATTAGTCAGCGAAGACGAATACAACGAAAAGAAACACTGGATATGTTCTCTGAACGACCTCGACTATGGGCGATTGGAGCATCCCGAAAAATGTCGCATGGCATATGCGTTTGTGCAGGGCGCGAACCCCAACGGTACTACAATGTTGTTGAACTTCAACGAGTCGTATCCGTTGTCGTTACCACCACCGAAATTTGAAACAAAGAAAGAGCAAAAGGATGCCTCTGATTCTGTGTATCTAAACATACAAGAAAACGGTAGATTTGGAAAGTCTCCAACGTGGTTTCGATACGCAATCGATGTTCTTGAACGGCATGGGTGGATGAAAGACTTTGACTATATTTTCAAATCTGATGGAGATAATTTGATCTACACGCCCAACTTCTTTCGGTTCATGGACAAACTTCCACAGAAGCGTGCTGTCCGAGTTTATGGGGGGAGGCCATTGAACTACAACAAGTGTGGTGGCGACTCGCATGATCATTGCAGTCAAATGGTAGGGCCCCATTTCATGGCTGGGGGTTGCTACTTTTTATCTCTTGATCTAGCCAAATTTATTAGTGACGAGACAACGTTTGATCACATGGCGGTGAAACTTCCTCACGAAGATATGACGACTGGAAATTTTGTATATAGCCATCCCAAGAAGATCAGAGTAGTGAAGGAGCCCAGAAAGAAAGGAGTGATCCGAACTCACCCAGTGAAGAAAGATAGAGCATTCAAGCACAGATGGAACAAAATGCTAAAGGAAGAGCAAGTTCGTTTAGTAGCTGCGCAAGTAAACGACGAGTAATATTTCGGATATCTATAATCAAATCAAGGGTTTTTTATGCAGAAAGTAGTTGCCATTTGTAACGAACTTTTAATGGTGAAATTCAGTTGATATGGTGACCCCCTTCTTCTATGTTTAGATACGTTTCACATTGACTTTTGCTGCTCTGACCAATATTTGGTGTTTCAATATCAATACATTCTTTGACAGTGGCAAAATGTATAAGCAAACAATATCAAGATTTCTTCTTCGAGCCAAGTTTTGTACCGTCAAATCCCGATCTCGACATCGCATACCTCGAGCACCATATCGACACCGCGCCTACCTCCAGCCCAATGTCCGCACCATCCACATTGTTACCTATCGGATCTGCATTGTTTCCTATTGAACCTAACGGCATGAATTTACGAACCGAGGTATTACTTCCACGTCGCATTCGATGACTACGAACGCGAGCACAACCCCTCTTCTCCAAAAAGTTTGTAATTCCAATGGAATATCATTTTGAGACATTTCGCCAAGCAAACTAGGGATGCAAGATAATAGAGTGGCATGATTTACAATGTCATGGTGTACCATGCCTTGAACCGGATCAAGGATTCAATGGACTGCCTTTGTGTCTTCTCGACAAATACCTCTATTTTTGTTCCATCCAACACTGGATTCCGGAGGATTCGATTTGGTATGACTGCAACGAGAGGATACTGCGTGAAAATTCCCCGTATTCTGCTAGATGCGAGATACGGGAGCGGATTGAAGATTGCATTATGATAATTTTTTCTATCTGGAAGTGTTGCTCCCAACTTACTCTTCTACCTAGAAATAATCACGAGTCTACTCGCATGTAGACCCGGTAATCACTCCCAACATGATCTGAATTATGTATATACTGTTGAGATGGTTGGAATACGGTGAGTAAATTGAGTCAAATGAAGTGTTCACTATCTTATTCTCTATTTACTTGAAATATGAGCTCTCCATCCAGCTCTAATAATCACGGCCTCTGTCCGGTATTCACTCCTCTTGTACTCTTTTCTTTGCTCCTCAGCTTCATCCGTATTAGAATCCTTCTAATCTTCCTAGATCTCTTCAACTTCAATACCATTCTTGATTGCTATCAGCTGCATCTTCAACGCCAGCACCATGGTGAACAGCTGTCTCTTAACCAGTTAGATATCTCCAACTGTTTGCTATGTCCTTATAATCATCATACCTATCACACTACATTGGTAGCCAACGTCAACTATCTCAGACGCTAAGTTAGTTCTGCATCTCCCGCTGCTTTCAATCTTTAGCTTATATCCACCAAGAAATCACTGTTCCAACTTATGCTGTTTCAAAACGGCACACAAAGAAACTTCTTTAGAGCAATGCAACCGCTGAAGCAACTGCGGCAACTCCAGTAACGACTTTTCTGCTCCATTCAACAGTGGATGCAGGAGTAGCAAGGCTCCCTCCGTCGAGATCTTCGATCGAAAGCCAAATAGTCGTGGCAAAGGGACTATTACCTAATTCCTCGGTAGAATCTTCTTGGAGGCCACGGGACGTTTCCTCAGTCGACACGATGCCTCCACTGTACGAGAACTCTGCCGTCAAGTGTCGAACATCAGTGTTGTCCTTCCTTAAGTAAATTCCCCCCCAAAGAACATCCTGGAGATCTTCCACAGGCACAACAGTATGCTTCAGAAACAATTGATTATTGAAGGCCACACAATTTTCTAATTCCAAGCAAGCCTTCGCCGCTCCTTCGATACCTCCAGCTCTTCCGGAATTCTCGATATCGTTACCATTGGAATCCTTATTTGGAAGAAAGTTGAAATTGTTAAGCGGATACTCGTGGTCAATCTTGACATAAACTGCCCCAAATTCGGAACCTTTCCATTCCATAGAGATGGCAGACTTGAGGTTGAAAACATCATCATGGCTAACAAAGCCAACGCATCCTGGTAATTCCAGGCAAGCATTCGCCGCTCCTTCCCAATTCGTATCTTCGATTTGCTTGAGATCATAGCCAACTGAATCATTACCTGAAAATTTGTTGAAACTGTTAAGCGGAGAGGGGTACCCCAATTCTACTTTACCACTGCACAAGAGAGAGGAATCAGTGGATGGATTTTCTCCAAAATAGGGTGCAACTACAACACTCCTAAATGCTGCTGCACTTAATCCCATTTCATTCTCCCCATTTGAGTCCTTGCTTCCTGCAACCTCAGCACCCACAAAGATCTCCGTCAGATCATTTCCCTCGCCGTTTTCGTTCACTAGTTGCTGTTCAGTGTCGCCTTCACCACAGACAACATCCTTGAAACCAATGACGCTATAGATGGTTCTATACTCTGCTGTTGGACGCACACAAACCTGGAACTCTTGACCAATCTTGTAGTTTGAAACATACGGCATTCCGTCATTGATGCCGCTGTCGCCACACACGAAGGACTCAACATCGATGATCATTGTAAGATCGTCAACGGTTTGTTTGCCAGTGGTTCCAGCAATTGAGATTGTTTGGTCAAAATTTTCGAAGCTGGCAGTGAAATCAACGCCCACTTCCACATAGGAGTCGACAAATGATACGTAGTCTAGACCGGCTAGATTTTTAATGGAAGTACGAACGCCTATTTTGGATTGGGCCATGAAAGAAAAATTAGTTAGGAATAAATAGTATAACAAACAATGTTGCGGGCACCGTTGCTGCACGAGTCAGAAGCACCAAGCCACAAAATATGCTACTCACAGAGTTTGATTAGCCCATTCGCGCCATCGCTGCTAGTAAAGGTTTGAGACGGCAGGCGTGGATCACGAATGTTGTCAATCGAGAATGTAGAAGTACCTAAAATAAATATAAAAAAAAAACACGGAACATTAGTTTCGGTGCGTGACGGGTACTGCACACGGATAATGAGTACAGCATAAGTTACAACGTACCAATCATTCCACCTAATTTGGATGGATCGGCTGCAGGGTCTCTACCTTGCCATATGGAGAGGTGTCAGTACCATCACCGGCTTGCAATACCTCATACGAACCAATTGGGTCCTTTCCATGGACAAACCAGATGTCATAGTTGAGGGAGAGGGCGGCAACGCTTACGGAAGAGAAACGCATAATTATCTTTTGATTGATGTGTTGGGGTTCGGTTTAGAGTATTTCAAAGATTGTGAGAGAAACTGATTTTCTCCAACAAAATGACAAAAAAACGGTCTTCTTCGTAGGACTAGATATTGTGCGTAAACTGGTACATCGGATACAATTTCATAACATATCAAGTGCTTTCTACTACAGTAAGAAGTGTTTTGTAGATTGATAATTGTCAAGCCAATTGTTTTAAATGCAACCACAATATATATGATTTCCTATTCGTTGCTTTCTTATCTGAGATTGATCATTGCCAACACCGTTTTTTGGCATAGACAAACCTAATGCAATCGATATCGACACCCTCCACGATGTCTCTTTTTAGTGACCGTACGTAACTAACGTAAAGCAATAAAAATTGGTAGATGTTGCGTTTTACTGTACTGTATTTATCATTTCTTTTTGATTCTGATTTAAAGTACCGATTCCTGATACCGTTTAATCGAAAGTTGTGGATGAAGAAATGTTGTGAGCGTTTTTGTCCACGTTTCATCATCACCAGTGCAATTTTGATATTTTGGGAGCRAAAACCATATATATTGGGAGCAAAAACTTTATTTATCATTTGTGGTTGAATCACAATACCGATATTTTTTATTAGTGTATTAGAATGAGGAACATATTCTCTCGTCTTCTGAATACACTTAGTGTTATTGGGAAGTGGTACTAGTACTAGTACTAGTTGCTTGCACGAGATTACGTGTACTCTTAGTATGTTTAGTGTGTATAAAAATTGAAATTATAAGACTAAGATTATCGAGCGCATTCATGAGAGTTCCGGAGTTCTGATCAGATCCTTATGTAGATCTGGTAGTGAATCTACATGAATGTTCTTCTATTCCGGACTCGTGACATCTCTGTTCTCTGTGAGGTATTCTCATACCACGTATCTTAGACCTCTCGATCCTCAACACTATGGATTGTATAATACATATATATGAATAGTACCCTACACTATTTAGGTAGGAATGGTATGTCCATCCATTCCGAGGGAGCATCGTATGTACGTATGCTTCCTTTACAGTACGTACGTATACTTCCAATACGGTATGTACGTATCCGTTGCACTAGTACTAGTACTACTATGAGAATATGTTTTAACAAATAATATAAATTTAAATTAAATTATTCATTTATACTAGCACATCACTACACCTGATTGCAACAGATATGTACGTACTGTATTAGAAGGATACGTACGTACTATATTAGAAGGATACGTACGATACGAAGCTTTGAAGAAAAGGAATGGGAGAACATACCATTCCTACCTACATACTATCATAACATAGTATTCATATATAGAGATCATACGATCCTTCGGTTGAGGATCGTAAGAGGTCTAAGATACTATTCGAGAATACCTCACGAAGAATAGAGATGTCACGAGTCCAGAATAGAGAACCCCCGTGTAGAATCCCTACCAGGTCTACATGAGGTTCTAATCGGAACTTCGGAATTCTCGTGAACGCGCTCGGTAATCTTAATCTTATAATTTCAATTTTCATACACACTTAACACCTACTAAGAGTACATGTAATCTCGTGCACAGTAATTACTAAGTGATTTTTCGTGTATCGAAATTTAATCAACCCTTAAGAAAAACAACCAAAATCACCACATCGACCATGGTGAAATCAACCAACACTCGGACTCGGTCATGCCTCACCCTCAATAATAGATTCAAAGAGAGTGATATCAAAGAAATCAACCTCTTTGTGGACCATCTGGCAAGGACACAGACTACTGGCAGAGGATCCAACAGAAGAACTCACCAAATTCCGGCCGTGAGGTTGAAAAGAAGCTGCCCAGTCTTCACTGGGAAATATGGAGTGCAAGAGTTATTCTATGTACAAGAAGGATTTGAAGATGCCTTACACGACTTGGAATTAGCAGATGYGGCAGATGGGYAGATAAACAAGAAATGGATACAGGTACTGGCTCATCGACCGAGACAGAATTGGAACAACATGTGGGAAGGTCCAGACAGTTTAAACATTGGGAGAGACACCAAAGAACAGTGGAAACAGGCCCTTACTTTGTTTAGAGAATTTTATGCACCATCAAAGAGAGCAAGAGATGAGGTGATTACATACTTGGAGTCGGATGCCATAAAGAAGCCCCACGATGTCACCTGTCAAGAACATGCAGAGAAGGTCGTTGTTTGTTGTAACAGAGCCAACGTCCTACACGGTATCAAGGGCCCTTTGTCTGAACAAGAGATCAGAGAGATCCTTTTCAACTCCTTCCCCAAAGCTTGGCAAGAAAAATACATTAGCTGTGGAAGGRATGTCGTTGACGATACTCAAACACAGATAGTCAAATTCATGACAGAGCAGAAGGGACTGGCCGACGACAATGATGAAAGGAAGCAGCGTTCAAGGAAAAGATCAACGGACRACAACAGTGCAGGACAAGGAAGGAAT